CCACTGAGCTATCCCTGGCCCTGGAATTTATTTCTTAATAATGTTGTGTTCTTTATTCTGTTTGGATGTGGCACTGTACTCATGTACATAACTATTTTAGTCTCTGTGCTGGCAGCCTTCCTGATCTGCTCAACCTGTTCTGTTTTGTCATTTATAATTGCCTCTTCATGACCAACACATGACTGCTTAGACTTTATTCAAATTATATTTATAATAATTTCGAAACATCAATTGACACTATTGACTTATTTACTTTTTATTTTTATTTTTTTAAGAGACAAGACAGGAAGGTGGTTTGGGTCAGTGGTTGAAGCCCTGGGTTTTACCCTTAGCATCAAAAATAAAATTTAAAAAATTTTAAAAGACAAGAACAACTTTTTAATATAAAGTGTCTAACAACGATAAAACAAGTGAAATAAAAATCAGTTGATACTAATCACTGCTAAATATAAAATTAAAAGTCATACACACATACCTAAAACCCCTATGTGTGCGTATATACATAATGTAAAAAATTAAAATAAATATAGCCATGTCATATGTCTGTTACTTTAAATCAGGATAATTCAAAGTGATAGGATGTAAATGTCAAATACCAGAGCTGTAGTTGCTCCTTCTGTGGGGGAAAGTGTTCTAAGACCCTGTATGGATGCCTGGGACTCTGGAGAGCACTGAACCCTACGTTACACTGTTTTTTTCTATACATTCTCAAAATAAATTTAAAGTTAGACGTATGCACAGTAAGAGATTAACAAAAATAAAAACTGTAATACTGTATCATAATAAAATTTATTTTAACACTTTTTCAATTATTTCTGGTACTTTCCATTTCATAATTGTGGACTATGTGCGACAAATCACAGAGCAAAACTGCAGTAAGGAGGGACCACTTGTCACACTTTAAAAATTCCTGTACTATCAACTGATTTTTCAAAAAATTCCTAAGTATAATTGCAAACACAAAATTCAAGAGAGGGCCGAGAATTTAGCTCAGTGCCAAGGTCCTGAGTTTGATCGCTGGCACCAAAAAAAAAAAAAAAAAAAAAAAAAAAAAAAAAAAAAAAAAAAAAAAAAACAAGAGAATATGACAGTATCTGAATAAAATCAAAGCATTGATGTATTGGCAACGATAAGCAAAACAGAAGAAAGTCAGATAAGGAAGGATGCTAGTAAAGGAGGTTCAAATAAATGTATACAGCAGTATAGTGCAGCACTTAAATGATATTTCCTAACAAAAAGAGAGGTGTCATTTTCTAACATTAAGACGTCACTTGTCTAGTAATTCATAACAGTTTTGGCTGCAAAGATCTCTTTGCTTTGACTAAGATTACATACCCTTGCACCAAAAAAATGCAAATATTATTCACAATAGTTTGCCTATATTAGAGTGTTTCATGAATTTACCTGCTTGGGCCCATGTAACTCTAAAGGCCTTAAGAAATTTAGTTTAAGAATTCTTGGTCAAGCCAAAGGAACCTGGCTAAAGATACCCAAATCCGAACTAGCAAGACTGATTGCTTTCACGGCATGCATGCCTCCATTCATTCATTCATCTCTCCCTCTCTCTCTCTGAGCATGTGTGCCGGTGTTATTAGGGACGGAACCTGACCTTCTCACTGAGCGACATCCCCAGCCCTCCGTTTTAAAAATAATAACATAGATAACTTCTAACTTAAATATTAGAAGACAGCATAAAGTTATCATCAGGTTTTTCACAGGACAGTATACAGAAATTTCTGGGATCCTGTATAGAGTATCATCATCTTTACTCTTGAGTCAGTCATTCAATAACACACTGGTCACCTTCCACTAGTTCCAGCTTCCTTCCCTCTGTTCATGTTGCATATGCTTATTTCTGTTTGGCTCATCAGGCCTGTCGGTCCTGGCCTGAGATATTTTCTCAACTTACCAAGATCTTTCTCTTAGTTTTTATTTGGATTACACTGTGAGGAACTTGTATATGTATCACATCTCAATTATCCTTCTCAATCCACCTTTTAAATTTTTTTCTGCCAGCATGAGATACATTTACTTGTTTTATAAGTCTTTATAAAGTTAATTATCATAAGTACAAATTAACAGCCAGACTAACTGGCCAAAAAGATATAAAACACATATGACAATTATACCAAATCAAGGCACACTTTCAGATATACTGTCATGCTGGATTACAATAACTTTTTTCTCTCTTTTTTTACTGTTGTCTTTTATTTTTTACTTTATTTATATATTAGGCATCTCATATATTTCTTGGTATTTATAAGAGAGAGGAAAATTCTTAGAGGAGAAGAATACTTTTCTTCCTTTGGCATTCTCAATTCAAATAATAACCTAAACCTCTAGCAGAGCTGAAGTGAAGAGATACAAATGGCAGGATAGACTGTTAAGCTGTAGCCACTGCCATTGAGAATTAAAAGGTAGGACTGTGAATAGAAAAAAGTTCAAAAATAAATATTTACATGCCAGAAGAAGTACATAACACATTAATGCTATGAAAGTAGAAAGGAGACTACTGTACAAAATGAGAGAGATCGGGGAGGGGTCTAAAGAGGTATGGATATGATCAAAATATATATATCTAAAAACGCCATAATAAACCTAATTTTTTTAAAAATTTTTTGAGACAGGGTCTCACTAGGTAGTTCAGGAATTCACTGTGTAGCCCAGGCTGCTCTTGAACTCAGAGCGATCCTCCTGCCTCAGCCTCCCAAGTGCTGGGATTACAGGCATGCGCCACCACGACCAGCTAGACCTAATGTTTATAAAATTAATAGAAACTAATAAATATAGAAAAAAATGAAATGGGAAAGCAAAAAGAAGATATTTTAGTAATGTTAACTGCTCTGTGGAGGGAATTGTACTTTACACTATATACTATTTTGTGCCTTCTGTATTCTATACTACACATGTTATATATTATCTATGGGGGAAAAAGAAAATCAACCAACTAACCCAAATCCAAGATAACTCATTTATCAGTGACTTATCAAGTATCACTAGAAAAAAATGAGTAAGTTATAACACAAGTATCTTTTTGATAGTGAGGACTTAAGGTATATTTTGTTAATGAGTGTGACTTTAATTATTCAAGCTATGAGTTTCTGGACCACTCTCCTTGAATAAAATGTTCTGGACTTATCAAAAGTTAATTCCACATTTTTTTAAATGGCAACCAAGATACCCTACCATGATAATTTAATTAGAAAGCAAATATATTTAAACTATCAATAGTGCATTTGATTATCATAGAAGCAATGGGATCTATATATTAAAACCGACACACTCACAGCCAGAACTTCACTAGCTTTCTATCTCTGCAGACTTATTTACTTACTTGCTTCATATGTGGTCCCACTTGCATCTTCACTCCAGTCACTCCAGAAACCCTTTCCATCTTCCTTCATACAGCGAATCCTAAACACATATTCTGTGAAAGGTTTAAGGTCCTGGACAGTGAATGAAGTGCGGGTTGCTGTTGTATCTTCAGGAGGAATCTAATAATAAAGCAAATGTGCAACAACAATAAAAAAATCCAGTTAAATAACTTCTAAATTGTATAATTTTAGAAACTAATTTAATGAAATAAGACTAATAAACTAAATCTCTAGACAGAAATAAATTAATATCAAAGAGAAGTCAAAATCAGTAAAGTTACTAGGTTTGCATTGATTAAAAGAAAGCTTAGAGAAATGACAACAGGCCAGAGTGAGAGATTCATCAGTGCAGTTAGTGCTCTGGGGCCTGAAGCTGTTACCACCCTGAAGTCCAAGAGGAAGAGACAAGATATCAGTACTTTGAAGAGAATCAGAGAGGGCTGCCTTGATAGGCAGAAACTTAGGATGAGAGACAGAAGAATGCTCCAGGAAGGAAGCAGGGAAATAAACATGCTGATCTTACTTTTCTTCCATGACTCCTTTCTCCTGCTGGGGCCCCTCCTCCCATTAACTCACGGGAAGTTAGAAGTAATGGAACCCACAAAAAGTGCATATGGATCAGCATGACATTACAAAGAATAGTATGGAAAAGGACAGAACCTAGACCTGGACAGGCAAAGGAAGCATCTATCTAGCCCCATCAAGAAAAAATAAAAGCTACCTGAGTAGATAAACCTGCCTTTCAGAAAGTTAGCAAGTTATTAAGATTTCAATATTGAAATGTTAGTTGTTTTGTACCACTGAATTATGTACTAAAAAGATCTTGAAGAACTTCAGGTATATATCTTTTCTATATAACACGGATCATTAATTGAATTGTCTTTTCTGATTGTATTCTGAGTCCTTTAGATAACTGGGATGCAGAATTTAGAAGTTAAAAGGTCACAGGCTCAATTCCTTTATATGCTCATTTTTGCAACAGAGTGATAAAATCAAAAGCATACCATAATCATTGTAACCATAACAAAAAATAGTATGAGTATGTTCAATGTGATGGTGATAGCTTTTTAAAAAGTTCCAAGGTATTCTTTTGCTGATAGTATCATATTTGGGTACAACACTCTCTACCTTTTCAGTCTTGCAAATTCCCCACCAATCCCTTTCTATACCTCAGGAGTTGGCAAACTTTCTATAAAAGGCTGGATAGTAAGTATTTCAGGCTTGTAGGCCAGTCTCTGCTGAAATTATTCAACTCTCTTATACTACAAAACAGATAATATGTAAACAAATGAGTGTGGCTATGTTCCAATAAAACTTTATTTAAAATGACAGGTAGCAAGCTGAATTTGGCCTGCCCTACCTTCATCCTTATGGTCTACTTTTGAACCTCTACTTAACTTGCTTCTTTTTACTGCGTGTATTCCATTTATCTCTTCATCAAGAATGCTCTTCCTTGTCACCCTGCATAACTTCTGTGTGTCCCTTAAGTTACTGTATACATAGCTGTATTTTATATCTGGATGTCTTCCACTTCGCCCTTACTTGAAATGAAGACCCAGAACAGGTACCAACTAGATTCATATAAAGTTAAGACATTCAAAAAATGATTGAGGGCTGGGGATTTGGCTCAGTGGTTCCGCCACCTGCCTCACAAGCGCAAGGGCCTAAGTTCTATCTCTGGTACAAAAAAAAAAAAAAAAAAAAAA